ATTTATACCCACCTCAAAAAGATCTACATACTCATTCAAAAGGTTGAATGTTAAGTGAAAATATGTACTAAACAATAAAATAAAAGGTCAGTGCATGGGGGGGAGGGGTGAAAGTTGTGTGTATTTGCCCTTTTTTGCATTGCTAGTCTTTAATTTTGAACTTTTCAGGGTAGGCAAGCTGTCTGCCACATTGCCAGTAATAAGGCACCAGTGGACATTCTGAAACTTCGGAAATGCTGGAAAACACTGTTCTCCAAAAACAGGCACGCTCTCAGTTTTGTTTTTGGCGTATTTCAAGTGCCTCTTAGGAGAAGAAACAGGTAAATGGAAATAACTAACCATTTCCTTTCTCAAGAGCAGTCAAGGGAGTAAAGTGAAAAGAATGTCATATATTTGCTATAATACACTGAACAGGCACCCAGCAGTTTGCCAGCAAGCTGTTATCCGTAACTACGTTCAAAAGCAATTCAACATAAATCCTTACTCCTAAAGATACTTATTCCTGACATTATGTTATGAGGAAAATGATAAGGGAAAAAACGGTTTGCAGAGTTGTGGAACCAGAATAATAATAAGCAGAGCAGTAGTAATTCCAAAATCGGGTCAATTCCTGGTAGATTCTTGATCTGTACTTGCCAAATAGAAGATGTGCCAGAAAAGCAGGATATTGATTTACTTTGGCTTTTCCGTCAGCCTTTTGTGCTTCTCCAACTGCTTAGAAAGTCAGTCCATTAAGACAAGAAATCTCCCCACAAAAAACCTCAGAGTTGTTTTCAAGTTCCGGGAAATGCTACTGCTAACTAATGTAATTGAAAAAATATTAATAGTGCAAAAACATAACAATTATGTTATTAAAAAATCTCCTCCAGACTGTCTAAGGCCATACTTTGTCATTCATATTACCTTATGAATGGTTGAGAAATCAGCTGAAGCACTTTGGGGTCTATGCAATAGGAGATAAGGCATACTGTTCCAAAATAAAAACAAGGATACTACACAGACGCTGGGATGAGGATTTCATTCAAGTAGATTACCTAGTAATTTATTGTCCAAGATATTTGAAAAAAGATCTGTTTACACTACGAATTTAAGGGTTTAAATAGTAGGCATGTAAGGTTCAATGCATAAGAAAATCTTATGCCGAGCATAAGTGCATAATTTACATTGATTATTCCAGACGTGATGGCCTGCAAGATTCAGAGTTTTAAAATCACTTTCGGTCTTTTTTGTGGCAAGATTTAAGTGTTTACCGAAGGGTAAAATACACCTCTCATGAGGACAAACTGAATGATACCAAGAAAGAACATATGACACGAAATCTATGACAGTATTTGAATGGCAGGTAAGCAAAGAAAGATGACTGCATTCTTTGAGAATATCAGAAAGCTGTTACTCTATCAGTGAATAAATGTCAGGTTACTGTAGCATTAAAAAGTGAGTTGGTATATACCAGAAAACACAATGCTGGCCCCAAAGAGACATAAAATTCTTTAGATCCCCTCTTCTCCCCCCTCAAAAAGAAAAAAGAACATACAATTGATATGCAATAGCTGTGAAAAAGAGAACAGAGGAAAATAGCAGTATAATGATTCATTTTCTGTATTTTTCATTTCTGTGGTTGTCTAAATGGTTATTTAAGTAAAATCCATAAAACGGGCGTAGGAAGAAAAGGATATTACAGAGTAAAAAGAACTGACTTAGTGACTTCACTGCATCAGTCATCACTAAAAAGAATACAGTGACTGCCAATGCTAATATTTCGCCTTTTTCGGAAAACAGAACTGACTGAGAGACCCAAAGCGAAGCAGTCGGACTCCACCGAACATTTTCAAACGGCGGAAACCCGTCTCGGCTCGGTCGTGTTCACCCACAAGTTCTGAGGCGACAGACCCTGAGAAGAGCGCCCTACGCCCACAGCGGGGTCGTGACGATACCGTCCGTCCTTGCGGCACGAAGCCCGGGCGCCCTCGGTGCCATAAGATAAGGCGTCCTGGGCCAGGCGGGGAGGCCGGAGGCTGCTCTCCAGCTCAGCTGTCGTTTCAAGCCCCCCTGCAGAAGCCATTAATGCCCTCCCGTCACTGCAACAGCTCTTCCCAGAGAGTGAGGGAGCCTGCTTTGGGAGCACAGGGGAACGAGCATAAAATTGGAGACTGGGGATGTTACAGGAGAACTGAAAGTAAGGAGCAAAAAATGCATGGAGATTCTGAGGAAAAGAGCAGAAATGCTGCGGTGTGCAGCAGAAACGCGCTGTCCTTCCATTTTTTCCAGTTCCGTGCTCTCTTTCTGGCTTCTTTAATTTATTTGCAAACTGTCAGTCTTGCTGTTTTTTCTTTTTAAATCACAAGCAAACATTAATGGCACACCCCTCCTAGGTCTCCACTGGTCAACTCTCACCAAGCTGCCTTAAAACTCTGTGAAACAAATGGCTTCGATGAAAACCCCCAAAGAAAAAAGGTGGCAAACACAATCGAGTTCCTCCCCGCAGCCACCCCACGGATCTCACCAGAAAGGGCTTGTGTCCACCCAGCTGCAGTGGCCATCCAGGACAGATGCATCCAAACTCGTTCCTGCCCAACCAGTAAAAGAAACAATACCACAAATGGCTTCCAGAGCTAACAGGCGCTGCAGTGGGGGAGTACGGGAGGGAATTATCTACAGGGCCCGCGTAATGTGTGCTTCACTTCTCGCAGGGAGGAAGCTTCCGTTCTCAACTAATATTTCTAAATGGCCGTAGAGTGACTGTTACAGCAACCTGCAGTACAAATCTTTAATCTCGAAAGACATTAAATTCATTAAACTATTATACCAGAACAAGATTTCCCTCGGCTAAAAATCATGCTCCAACTTAGATTTCTTCAGAAAAAGTCAGTAAAATAATTAGCAAAACAGGTGTATCTGAATTTCTGAATTAAATTGTATTCCCTCAACAAGTCATTTTTTCCATCCATTTACGAGAATCCTTCTGTATTTCATCTACAACAAAAGCTGAAAAATATGGGACAGTAAGCTTGAGAAGTTCGTTGTAAGTATGAAGCCAAATAACTATTCAGTTGTCCGAACTGGACTTGTTAATGGAAACCAAAATTAAAGGGATAAACTCAAGACTTAACCAACCCTGTAAGGATTCCAGGAATTACAGTTTTCAATTTATTCTAAAGAGAATAATTATATAGCACCAACATTTGAATGGTCTAAAGAGATGCCAAACCAACCACTTTGGAGACCAAACTTCTGTCTTCTCTACGTCGTAGTTATAGCACGGACGACTGAAGCGTACTTGACATTGCTTACAGAAAATACTTGCCAAAGTGCCTCATTACTACCACAGAGAGGCCACCATTAATATCAGCCTGGGACCTCTCCACGGACTTTGCCAAAAGACAAAATTCGTCACTGCTGATCGCATCCTTTCTCTCTCCAGGGTTTGTAAAACATACAGAAAAATCTGTCTCTGG